CTTCAACGGAAGGTTTCCATCTGGCGGAGTCAGGTTAGGGCCCTGAGTCTCATTATAAAGGGCAACAAAAGAAAGATGTATGTTTTTGTTACTGTATGACTGCATATAGCAAAGCTACCAAACCTGATACACATTTAGAAAAATAACCTCTCAGTTTGAAAGTTTTTGCCAAAATGATAAATAAAGCTCTTTCCTTTCTTTTTCCTATACTGTAACTGACAGAGAGAAAACCAAGCCTTTAAAGTTTTGTGAACTGCACGATAAACAGTAACCATCTTTATAGTAACCTTTGCAATTTTGTGAGCATTTAAAACTACTTCCCTGTTTATTCTTAGTAACATGGTTCTCACGTGATTTCTAGATATATTTATGCTTGAGGAAACACATTGCTGTTACTGAAAATAGACGTATTTAAAATTCTCACCTGTGTTTGTCCTTCAGGATATGTTCGCCCACTAACAAAGGCAGCACTGACAGACACACTGTCCCCATCAGTCACACACATGTAGACGTCATCGTTGCCCTTAAAACAAAAATTTGACTTTAGTACTTAAGACACAAGGCTTTTGAAATGTTGATGGGATACATTTTGCCTGAGATTTACCATCCATTTGTCCAAGGATAGAGCAAAAGCAATGTATCCCTCTGCTGGGCCACTCAGCTCGAATGTCATCAACTGTGGAGGAAAAGCTTTTTTAAACTTTCTACTCCTTTTTAATTTGTAAGTTTGAAATATGAGTAGAAGAATAAAACTATTTTTGACCTTGAATTAACTAAAAAAACACAAACATCAACATCAGGAGCCTTTATATGGTTCCAAGGAGAGAGATTATTTAGTTTTGGTCACACTTGCAGGGTAGGATCTTTAACAATGGACCAGGGTTTGGTCAATCCTACTAATGCTTTTTCCAAATGGATTCAACCAGTTAAATGTGGCTTGACATATTTCCATTTAGATTTTTCCCTAAATCCTTCAGTGGGTGGATTCACCTGGGCCTGTTTCACAAAGCAGGTTAAACAAACTCAGTTTATAATCCTGAACTATAAATTAATATAGCCTAAGGTTCGAAGCTGAGTTTTTGGTTTGGTAACAGCTGGTGTGAGCTAATTTAATAAACTTTGAATATGTTCAATCTGAGTCATGCACATGCCTTACGAATATGAAAAGCAATTATCAGTGGACACATTTATTTAAAGCGTTCCCCTCTCTGTTGTCTGAGAACCCTCTCACTATAAATATTTAATTATCTGTGAATTAAAGGAAAAGTCCGGTCAGCAAGGAATAACCAATGCGGTAATATTCAGAATTCAAACTTCTGAAAGTACTTTAAATCCAAGCATCCATGTTTGTCAAAGAACACTACTGCCACCTACTGGTTTGTGACGTCACGGTGCAGTATCGTAACTTGACTCAGCCAGATGGATTTGCTCCGCATATCCATCTGGAAACCTTCCGTTGAAGTAATTTTGGGAAGGGGC